TAAAGACGAGTAATTAGGCTTCTGCTGAAATCAGAATGTTTGGCAGAAAGGCACAGATATCACTGCTTAGCTGTAAACCACAATATAATCTGCCAACTACCATTTAAGAGCAAATATAGAAGAAGAATAAAGTACTAGTGATTTCCTGTGTATAAGTAAAAAGTAAAGATCCCTTTTTACACCTTTCGGGTGTATGGGTAGAGCGCCCATATTTTTACAGACCATCGGTACTAGGTGGGTAATGTGGTCAGCATTACGCCGGCCGTCTTTACTTCCCAGGACATACATCCTGGTACCCATTTGAGGCTGGGTCGACCTGCAACATCCCATACCATGATAAAAATCCACACAACCAGCAGTGGGTTTCGATCGCGGTACGTTGGAATTACGATTCGGACTCGCAACGATTAAGCCACGGACGCTGCACTTCTGTGTATGGAACTGGCCGATCCTTATTTCATTGCCTAGATTTTGTAATGGCTCAAAAAATTTTAATAGCGGCTTTGATAACCACCTCTCCAATACTCTTATTACAGATCCACAGTTACAATCATACAATCATTTGGCTCATCAAATAGAACATCCCTGACGGAATATACAAAACATCAATGTGAATATGTTTCAAGAAATCAGCGGTCAACTTGAGGTTGTTGACATCTCCACAGAGTTTGTCCTCAAAAGGGAACGGGTGTTAGCCAGAATAATTTTCTCTGTTCTGCATATGTTGGACACTCTTGTAGTAGGTGTTTAGCTTTCACTTAACCTTATTCACAGTTACAGTCATCAGTGTCTCCTATCTTCAGCTTATTGAACAAGTGGTGTTTTAGCCGACTGTGTCCTGTGAGGAGTCTAAAGATCACTACTTGTTCTCTTCCGCCTAGTTGGTAGTATGTGGCCATCATCACAATACCTGTACAACCACAGTTAAAACAGTCACTAAGACCTGCCAAAAGGTTATAAGGTGACAACTGTGCCAAGCCGACTGTCGCCTGGGAGTGATGCCTCACCTGCGGAGACAGCCCCTGACGACTCACGCACTGACAACATACTGACACATATAATATTGTCATTATCATCATCATCATCAATTGTCTTGCTAGATGGCGTAGGCATTCAAACGTCGCCACAGATCTCGGTCTTTGGTGTTCTGGAGCAGTTCTACTGATGATATCCCTCAATGCCACTGTCCTAAGCCATCCACCATCATCTCTCTTGGTCTGCCTCTGCTTCTTCTACCAGTGATCTTTCCAGTCGTCATATTTTCCAGTGCTCCTTTTCTACTATATATTTTAAAACATGCTTTAACATGCAGCAGGTTATCAGGCCACATGACATCAATGTAATTACACCCTAGTTGCTATCACAGCAGACTAGACTAATCTAATTACCCACTAGTTATCACAAAGAACACTGCCATGAAAAACTACTGTTCAATTCAATTCAATATTAGCCGTGATCACTTTCAGCTAAGGGACAGAAAACATTACTGCTCTCTGCCCTGTCCGCTATATTTGTGTTATTGTTACAATAACCTATTAAATTGTCCCACGCCCATTAATCCGCCATTTATCTACAGGACTGTCTCCTCTCTAACCTTCAAATCCCTCGTCTTTGTTACCTTAAGGTTCAGCTCACTTAGTCCTTAACAAAGAGAAGGCACAGATAGATTATTACTGTCTGAGGAGAATGGCGCTGCAAGGAGTTACATGGAGATCTGGCCGACGCTTAAACACTCAGGGGAAGGATGAGATGGATATACAATCAGAAGGTTACTGGTACCATCAGAACTGGAAGTCTTCGCCTGCTGCTGAAGATGGGGACTGAGCACTTATGGAAGTATCCTGAATGCCGTGATGTCGATTCTTCATTCAACATTGACTTAGTCCCTTTATCCTTGCATCTTCTTGAGTTACACTCAACAGATCACCGGTTTGCGTATACTGTATCACTGTCAAATATAATAAGTACAGTAACTTTTAAAAATGACCTTGGCTCCTAGGTCGACCCAGCCTTGAGTGGGTACCGGGTGCAGTCCTGGGAAAGTGAAGGCGGCCGGCGTGATACTGACCACATCACCCATCTTGTGCCGATTGGTCTATAAAAATATAGGTCTAGCCCTATATGCCCTAAACGCCTAAAGGCGTGGAAAAGGGTCCTTTACTTTACTTTACTTTTACAGTAACTTTTGTCTGTTCTGATTTTAATTGTACAACTTCCCCTACACTATCAGTCCATTCAGTACAGGACACAATTTATTAGCAAATCAATTCAAGTAAATACAGAACATTATGTCTGCAACACAAAAGCTATAGTTCAAGAATATGATATAAGAAAAAATATGTACATAATCTACATGATAACACATTAACATTTGTAAGCAAAGTACTTACTTAGTCGCTCCTCTTCTACCTTGGGGTGTAGAGGTTTGCCAGAGAGATCGCCAGACATCTCTATCAGCAGTTTTCTTTCTGGCTTTGTTCCATTCCAGTCCTCTGTTAGTTAGGGACTGTCGGATGTTGTCTTCCCAGCGCACCCTGGGTTGTCCTGGAGGTCTGGTTCCCTGGTTCTTAGCCTCCCATGCCTGCCATGGTGGCCGATTTTCTCCCATTCTGCATACATGTCCAAACCATTGTAACTTTGATGTAAGCAAAGTAAAGGACTCCTTTCCCATGCCTTTAGGCGTATTGGGCACATACTGCTAGACCTATATTTTATGGACCAATCAGCACTTGGTGAGTAATGTGGTCAGCGTCTCGAAAGGACCCTTTAATTATGCTATAAACAGACATTAACAAAAACCATTCTTACATTTTCTTTTTAAATCGTACCCCCCAAAAAAGAGAATAAGATTTCATTTAAAGGGAAGCTGCAAAGAGTTAATATTTGAATTTTTTTTTTATTAATTTAAGAAAGAATTCTTGGATAATTAATCTACAAATATGTGGAGATAAAGGATTCAAGTTCATTTGGATTCAAAGAGTTGAGGGCAAGTTTCAAGGTTTTATATATTTTAATGATAAGAACCTGTTTCCACACCTGCAGGCGCATAGGGCTAAACCTATTATTTTATAGACCAATCAGCACTCGGTTGGTGTAGTCAACATCATGCCGCCCACTTTTACTTCCCAGGGCTATACCTCATACCTACTAAAGGCTGGGTCAGGACCCGACCCCTTGACCATCAAATCTGCAGGTGAGCGTCTAGCTGCTATATCACAGCGGCTCTTTTTAGTAAACAGACATTATTAAAATATTGGCTGCAAATTTTTGCAACTAAAAATCACATGTTATCAGTAAGTACAAGTAAATTTGTATAAATAAATTAATAAATAAATGTTTTGAAATGGCATCAAAACATCAAAGTGTACCATTTAAATATATGGAAAATGATGTAAAAGATATGGTTTAATTACTATTAACTATAAAAACTTGTGTAACTATGAAATCAGTTTCTCAATATTTTAACCACAAAGATCTTGGTTACATGAATGGAAAGCGGGAAAAAAATAGGAAAAGGCAAATTTAACCATGGTTAATTCAAAAACAGCATCATATAGTTTAGGAAAAATCCACAAATACCCTAAGAACACCAAAAAACACCAGGAAAATGATATAAACATATGGCTGAACTTCTATCATTCTGTAATTATTGTTAAAGCTCAATCACAAAGACCTTGGCTATTTGAATGTAAAGCGTAACTAAACTAGGAAAATTCAACTCTGGTTGATACCAAATTTGCAACAAAATAACTCAAGAAAAATCTACAGGTAACCATAACAACATCATCATCATCTTCTTTCGTTTGCCTAAACTTCTTCTTCTTCTTCTCTTCCACCTTGTACCCCAGTGAAGTGTCAGGGGAAGATGTAACGTTCATTGATGAGCTCTGTCAAGAGCACTGCTGAAATAGAATGTGTTGGATCGAAAGGTACAGCCTAGCTCTAAAACACAAGCAACATGCAACAGTCCTTTTAACTCTTTTGAGTCCCAGACGGTTTCAAACAGAGTGGCACAATAATCATAGTGAAACAGGCATCAGTGTAGCTGAGTTGAGCTGAGTCAACAATTGACATCACAGCCCTCAGGGCATTCCCATGCACGCTCCGTGCTTATCTTCAGCAGCCAGTGCAGAGTTCCAATACTGATGGTACCGGTCACAATCTGGTGCATCAGTGTAGTATGATTTTCAAAGATACAGTGACACACTGTGATTCATTTAAAACATTTGGCCAGATTTCTTTTGCATACCCAGACCAAAAATAAAATAAATAATAAAAAAACATTGTGTGTTGTACTGATACACACAGACATAAGTTCAGCACCAATGGTACATTGCTTGGAACAGAAAGATTTAATGGTGAATGCCGATTAAAAAGAAAAAAAAGAATCTCCCAATAGAGCATAGAGTCTCAACCAACTTAGGCTAGCCCTTTTGTAGACATGTTTATGATTGGCTGGATATTCTACATCAGCCTTTCCCGTGTGTGGGTTCTGGGGACCTTTTTTAGGAGGATGGGGAGGGCAGACCCCCTACCCCCCTACCAAGCATGTCATCTGAACCGACTAATTAGGGATGTTTCCTTCAAAGTCGGAGTGTATCTGCCTGAGAGGCAAAGAATTAATAGTCTGCATACTTATAAGTTAGATCTGTAAAATGGATGTGCACACAAAACTCTAGAAGCGGATGAGCAATGTGAACTTTCCGCAAGAGTTTACAGCTGATGAACACAAAAAAGAAGATACTGCATCCAGTCCTACATCAACCCACCCTAGCTGCCTCTTATGACATGCACTGTAGATTATAGTATCAGTATTCTGTGCTTCCTTTATGAGCTCCGGTAACACACAGATAACAGCAAAGCAGTGGTTACTTAAAAATATTGAGCATAAATATATGTTGCTCCACAAGACAGTATAATTTACCAAACACAATTTTTTTCAAACCTACAGAAAAAAAAACCCATTACTAACAATACTAATCCTTACAACCGGAATTTCATTACTTATCTTTGACAATACGCAGCTCAGTGACACCCAGGCTCTTTCGTCGGATCATGAAATTAAATCGATCCTGCAGGCTGGGTCGGCTATGACGGACGGTTCCATGATGAATGCTTCCGGATACACTGTCCATTCTGCTGCCAGTCACAGAGGAAAACACGTTCTCCATATTTAGGAGTGATCGCAATCCCAGGAAAGCATAAACTAGGGCTTCTTTATACTCTACAATCTCGTCTTCCGTATCCACAATCTGGACAATACAAATAAATACCATTATTAAAACATAACTGTTTATCTGGACAATACAAAAATACACCATTATTGAAACATTTTATAATTATTATCTGGACAATACAAATATGTACCATTATTGCAACATAACATTCTTTATATGGTCAATATAAATATATACAATTTTTGAAACATATCCTAATTCTGTATCTGGACAATACAAAAATATACCATTTCTGAAACATATAATTCTTTACCTGGAAAATATAAATATATACCATTTTTGAAACATATCTTAATTCTGTATCTTGACAATACAAAAATATACACTAATCAAAATATAATTCTTTACCAATAAAAATATATACCATTTATCATCATCATCAGGTGCCTTGTCAACTGGCATGGGCGATCATGCCTCTCCACAATCTGCGATCTCCTGCAGCATGTATCAGTTCATGTGCCGACATACCTCCATGCCCATATATTGCATAAGATGTTCTTCATTTTAGACAAATTTATATTTTAAATAGGTGGAGGCACTGGCCCCACAATATAATCTATTACTCAGATGTTCAGACTGAACACTGTTAGGAAAAATAAGCCCCAATTCTTGGCACAACAAACAATTAAAGCTACAAATAAAACAAGATCACAATTATAACTAAAACTGTTTTTAGTAGGTTTGAACTTGGTCAAAAGTTTGATTCCATGAAACAATAAAGCAAGCAAGCAAGCACCACTAGTAACTGGCACCAAGAGACAGCTATGGTGGGGCATAAGGATACAACGGCCAATAACTACGAGACAAAAACTACATCTTTATATGGGAGTAGACTAAGAGGAGGTGGAAAGATAATATGTTGCTGTTTGTTGTTCACGTACACCAGCTGTAAACCCTCGCGGAGTTTTGTGTGTGCTTCTGTTTTACAGATAATGCTTTTTTTTAATGCAGACTTTTGGTTTCTTGCCTCTCAGGCAAATGCACTCTGGCTGTGAAGGAAGCCCCCAATTAGCTGACTCTTGCGACATGCATATTGGGGAGTCAGTGTGTCTATTCTTGTTTTTCTCACAATGGGGCCCAGGAACCCACACTGGGGGAAAGATAATAGGCAAGCAGTCCTTTGTACACTTGGAGTCTGCAAGTGAACAGAGAAGGTCAATATCAGAGATGAATGGAGATGGTGACGTCTGCAGCAAAGAACCTCAAGGGCTCAAAATGCTGAAGAAGATTATAATCCCATTAAACTGCAGTGCAGTGACTGTGGTCAGAGGCTGGGGGACAGTTAAGGCTATTATGATGCGTACAAGCAGACTCAGGTTCCACAGGCTCTGTGCTGGGTTTACAGATCCTCATGCAAGACTCCTGCCATATGTCCTCGTCGTGCCCCGATAGCTTTTAATGGCCTAAACTGAGCTGGCAGGGAAATCTAAAAGCTGGTGGCCCCAGAGATGCAGTGACCAGAAAGCCCCTGGCTTTAATTTGCCCACATTTAATGCAAGGGTAATAACATCCACTGAAAACTAATTTGGGACATGAATGAAGCAGGCTGGTTGAATATCCTACTATGTGACAGTGTGTGTTCACATGTAAGTCAACCGGACTTTATGTTATGCTTCTTCAATTTCTGTTTCAGGTCACGCATCAGAGTCAAATTATAGACTCCGCCGCCTGTTACCAGCACAGTTCCACGGCTTTTGTTGATAATCTTGACACAAGCATTCGTCACTTGCTCTGTGATGTGCTCAATGTAAGTGCGCAGAAGGTCTGGAGTAGAATGCTGACCAGGCTGTCAAAGAAATGAACAGACTGAAAAAATTAATTTGATTTTCTAGTAACTATATGTTGGTTATATGTATTTCTTCTTCTTTGTCTGCTTCATGTTCACTTGCAGTAAACTCCCAACAGAAAGTAACCACTTCAGGACTACAATCTTGTTCTAGAACTTGAGCTTTGCATGCACATCCATTTTACAGGAAATGATAAGGAAATGTTTTAGCAGAGACTATGGTAAATGCAGACGTAGTTTGTAAAAATGGTGGTAGGCCAATATGAATGACAATGAGATCTGATGATGCGGAAATGGCTATTGATTTGGCGTTTGTTACCCAGTAAGCAGTGCTGGACACCCACTCAGCAGTAATGGACACAAAATGGAGTGTGCCAAGCTCAGTCTTGATTTCTAAAACTAGCAAGACCAGGGCTGAGAGTACGTGCAGGACTTTTAATTATGAGAGGGCCAGTACCCTTCTTGGACACTTTCGACAGAACCACCTCTGCTTTTGTGCAGCCTTCATGGTGGACCCAAGAAGTAAAACAGACATGGAGAGCAAAATGAGCAGCAGTTAAACAATTACAGAGTGTGTAAAAGACATCTCACAGGTTATAAGAGGACGTAGAGAAGCTAGAAAGCATTGGAAAAGAAAAAGTAGAAGAGTTCAAGCTGTGTGCAGCAGATACAAAGAAGGCTAAATGGGAACATTTTATGAGTGAAACTGGAGGAGATAAACCACTTGGTAGGTTTTGGAAACTGCACAGACAGACGCAAAGGAAGGATCGGTCTATATACCTGTGTATCATTTTTGACAAAAGCCTGTCCTTCAGGTATCATGTGGAGGAAGTTACAGCGAAATGTAAAAAGGAACTAAATGCTCTCAAGATTATGGCAGCAATGGACATGGAACAAATAATGCTATTCACAATGTTCCAGCATGAGATCCTGTCTGTGCTAGATTTTGGACTTGGAATGCTTACCATATCAAAGAGTCAGCTGATGAAACTTGAATATATATAGAACGAAGCCATGCGGGTAATTCTGGGAAGTACAATAGACACTCCGGTAGTATGTGTGCCATATATACAAGGTCAGACAATTAAGTAATGAGACTGATTTTATTATGGCCAAGACAAAAATTCCATCTATAAAACAAAGCATGCAATCCAAAGAGGCAACTTTCGTTTATGATCTGGCAACTTTTCATCACACACCCCCCCCCCCCCCCAACCTTTTCAATGGGCTGGAATGTATTTGAAAACGAGACGAAGAAGAAGAAACATACCTTCAATATTGGCAGCAGGTTGCTGGAAACCCACTCAAATCCCAAAGACTTGGGTCCACTCTGCTGATAATAATCCAGCTTGTCCAGCTGCTCCAGGATGTCAGGCAGAACGTGGCCTGTGGCCGCCAGTTGTCCATCTTGATCAAACTCTTGCTCAGGGTTGCCAGCCGACGCTAAGTGGTTCAGTACCATGTTACAAGGGCACACATCAAATCCTTTTTCTCCCTAATGATGAATTAAAATTTTAAAAAAAAATATTTAGACAGTTTATCCAATCGCTAAAGGCAGGGATTTATTGCATTAGATGTTCATTGTAATTTGCTGAAACATACTTTTCAGAAATGGTATTTCAACATCAGGATTTGAAGGGGAATCTGGCACAGGCCTTGATGTGTGCTTCTCAGATGCTGGCTTTCACAGCCTAGGATATTCAATACATCCATCACTTGTGTGGGCAACCTCTATTGTGTCGAACTGAGAGGGCCCTTTGTGGTGCACTTTGTGATAGTTTTGACAAATGTCAGAAGCATCTGACCTGTTGTCTCATTGGTCGCTTACCATATGATTTGGACTGATTGTTTGTTTGAGCAAACATTCATCCACTGCTGACTTAGGTTCCTGTTGCAGTTTCAGAAAGCACTTCGCCATGGAGACATCCCAACCCTGACTTTCAATGCCCTGCGCATGGATATCATTCTGGGGCACTCAATTTTACTATAGTTCGAAAAAAAGACAAATTCTCTAATGATCCTTTGCATGTGGTATTTATTGGTCATTATGCCTTCTGTCTTGTTTACTGCAAATCTTTTCTGATACAGATGTTCCATGCAAGGACGCTACACTATCTAGTATCTCCTGCCTTGGTCTTCTCGTGCCTTTTCTTCCCTTATTTTTCTGTTTATTATTTACCAATGAAATGATGTATGAATGAATAACTAATGCTAAGAATGAAAAGGTAGAATTCTAGATGGGCCTGTGTGCCTAATTCTTAACCCTTTAAAAATAAAGTTCATTTGTATGTTCATTCTGTCTGTGTTTGTCCTTAGAAGGGTGGCTGGTATGCTGTATTGTGGTCTACAGTCTTCTTCATGTCCTCTTTTATTGCTTCGGGTGTCGAGGGAGACATAAAGTCCTGCTTCGTGCTCTTCTGACTACTTAGACCATAGACACATCATGGTGCTGTGCAGTTTCTCTGATGTTATCTACCCATCTTGTTCTTGGTTGACCTCTTCCTCTACATCCTTCTTCTCTTTTGGTATATGCCTTGTATGGTTCAGCATCAGAAGGCATTCTCTCCAAGCATTTGATTTACTGTCTTTGTATGTTATTTAGAACTGGTTCTGTGCCGAACCAATTCTAAATTACATACAAAGACAGCCAATGTGGTCTACAGTAAGGCCACAATATTTGCACCTTTTGGACCAACACATCTGATTTCTACAAACCCCTAATTAGGCACCTTCAACAACCATCTTGTTAAAAGGCAACAAAATTAGTCCCCCCCCCCACCCCCATCCCCTCCGAAACTCACGTGTGTTACAAAAGAATGTGATGTGTTAAATTCAGATGCAGGTATCAATATAAAAGTTAATGTGTCTGAAATGTCTTCACACTGGATTTAAGATACCTCGCATGTACCAAAATCTGACACATTCAGCTTCTTCTGGTATTTGTTGCCCGAGTTCTCAGCAGTGAACACTTTTTTACTGGCCAGAATTTAAAATTGACTTTGTAAAGCTGCACCAAGTTTTAGGCTCTGACTATCAAAAAAAAAAAAATTTTTTTTTCACATATGTAATAAACCAACCTGGCAACCAACAGTGGCAATGCCGCAAAGATTAACACAAATATCTGTCTGCTGGAAGAGAAACTTCTCACCGCATGGTACCAGAGGCGCTCCCTGACCACCCAGGGCAACATCCTTGGCCTGAAAGTTGCTGACCAGTGGGCACCTTAGAGAATGAACAGTTTGTTGTTTGGAATATAATGACTGTCATTCATTTTCAAATTTCAGACAAACAAATGAAAACATATTGCATAAACATATGCTTTTTGGGAACGAAGCGGAACCCCCCACGACCAACCAAGGCATCAAACCCAAGGTCCTGCATGACAGCTCATCAGTCTAGACACTTGGCCACTGCTCCTCAGCAAGTTATTTGATTATCAAACAATCAATATGTCTATAGTTAAATTACTAAATACAAAATCAATATGACTCCAGCTAGTGACTAAATTAAAAAACTCAATGTGTCCGGTCATTTTACCCCTCAATGTAACATCAATGTCCGTAGTTATGTATTTATTAAACATAAGATAAGGAAAATGCAATGGTACGACATGTAATAAGATATAACTCCCTCTCAAAAACAATACTACACGACTCAGTAGAGGGAAAGAGAAGAAGAGGCAGACCAAGAAAAACATGGATCAAGAACTTGACTGGCCAGGCCTTAGGCACGCAACCATGAAGTCCACCGAATCTGACCGTCATATAGGGAGTGAGCTAATGAGACAATCAACAGCAACTGGTGACCCAAAAATACGCAGTGTTATGGAATGACTGACTGAAGATACATATAGATAGGAATTCTAATTCCAGCAGCAATAACAAAATTCATAATCTGGTTAAATCACGACTAGTTACTAGCATCATGAGGGCTAACAGACTGCAATGGTTGGGGCAAAGAGACAGAATATAGACAATGTACACACACACAAAAAGAGTTACAGGGAAGTAGACAATGGGGCAGACTACAAAGATTGTGGAGAGATAATATACACTGCAGGTCTACGAACACGTGCAGTCAGCCTGTGGAAAGAGAAGGCCAGTCAGAAAGATGAATGGAGGCAGGAAATATCTGCATTAATGAATCTCAAGGGTTCAGAATGCTTAAGAGGTAGAAGAAGCCGGGGTTTGTGTGGTTTGCAAAAGGTCCTACTTATTGCACACAAGTACCTTAATATATGCTTAGTCTTCTTCCATTATGAGATATTTAACACAGCACACAAAATCTTCTACATCAACAAGGATCACAATGTGAATACGCTATATACTTTATACTAGAAATGTTTTGTTTTATAAACAGACTGTTTCTTCTTCTTCTTCTCTCCCACCTTGTACCTCAGTGACATGTCGGGGGGAAGAGGTAACATTCAAGAGCACTATTAAGACTGATGTTCATTTCTGTAAGGCTGTTCTTAATGCCATCACTCCATATTTTCTGAGGTCTTCCACTCGCTCTATACCCGTTGTAACATTTTAGTATGGCTCGCTGTGGCAGATAGTACCAGGGAATTCTTGTTAGGTGTCAAAACCACTTGATTTGATGTTCATTGATGACTAAGACTGGCTTTATTCCTAGCATTAATCCAATTGATTGATTTTGTATTCTGTCTTTCCTTGAAACTACTGCAGCTCTTCTAAGGCATTTCATCTCTGTTGCCACAATGTTACGTTTATTGGAGGATGTAAGTGTCCATGCTTGGCACTGATAGCACAGACTGCATAAACAGACTGTTTTAATGTTTAATATGTTATTATCTGCCTAAGTGGTTTACCATTAAGCAGTAACAGTAATAACTGAATCTTTTTTTTGTGTGTTCACTGGCTGTAAACTTCACTGAAAGGTCTGGTTGTTCACCCACTTCTGGACTTTGGTCTTGCTCCAGGATGTAAGTGTTGGGTGCGCAACAGTTTTACAGACCCCCTTGTTTATGTGCAGACTGTTGGTTTCTCACCTCCCATCTAAATGCACTCTGACTCCGAAGAAATTATCAGTCCTATTTACATTGGCCAGGCCCTGGGGAACCTGTTTCTAGAATGACCACGGAGAGGCATAGATAGATCTAGCTGAGCACAAGCTCTGGACCTAGTGCACTACTATGTGTGGTTCAAGGCCTCAGCATCCTACAATTTAATCAATGACATCCTGTCAATCCCTTCTGGGTGGAGTTGAGTCAAAATCTGACATCACAGCACTCGGGGCCTTCCCAAGCATGCTCCGTCCTCATCCTTCAGCAGCCAGTGCAGAGTTCCAACACTAATGGTACCAGTCACAATCTGGTTATATGTCCATCTTGCCTTTCCTCTGAGTGTAATGAGCCAGTCAAACCCTGTGGTTACACTTAGGTGTCTCATTCTCTCCAGACCATAATAATCTTCTTTCTCAACTGATTACGTTGCTTGTTCCCAAACAGCCTGGCGACATCTGCCTTGTCATGTATCAATTCACCACCCAGTGGTGCAGATCCAGCCAATCTGCCTGTTCATTACCCACCACGCCGGCATAGCCTGGAGAAAATCATTATACAACCCTTCTGGGTTATAAATGGGATATACCAAGTCTCCTCGACTTATGACCCAGTTCCGTTCCAACAGGTTATATAAAAACACAGGTAGTGGGAGGTCTGCAGGTCCAGTGTGCTAAACACGGGAGGGTTAAACATACTCTAATGTCTAAACCCTGCTGGGCTCTAGGCATCAGTACTGGTAACTTGTTTACCCTACCAATGTATTATATTACTTTATTTACTCTTTTATAATAAATTTATTTTAAATTTTTTTGTGGTGGGAGTGGGGGAGTGCGTAAGTGTGGATGGCTGTAAGTCACTTAGGCTGTAAATACGGATGGGTGTAAGTCACTTGAGTGTCAAGTTGAGGAGACTGTGTATAGTTTTTGTCTATTCTGACACTGGATTATTATGTTTGTCGAATACTTTTGGAAATTTAATACTGCATAGTTTATGTGCTAATTAAAAGAGATTAAAAGATGATATCATTTCAGTTAAAAACTATTCAGGGATTATTAATTTCTACAACATGCACAGCAGTGATCCAATTTTTAAAAAAAATCCTTATCAGAGATGGCTAGATATCCAGCAAACTGCCTCAAGGTGGGGTATACTAAATTAAGGTTCATTTTGTCAAAATTCCAGGCTTGCTTTGTACCCGAATTATCTGTCTCAGAAGTCTAAATCACTCCTTCATGATAGCAGAATGAGGCAAATTGAGTACAGATATTAGTAGGAAAAAAAATTGATTAAAAAAGAGTTGGGACTTTGTGTTTTAGATCCAAATATGGAATCCTAAAGTCCACAGCAAACAGATATTGATATTGACATGGCTGACAATATAACTATGACAACTGCTTTGTTTAGAATTACTGACTACAAACCCAACATCACAGCGAACCCTGGATAAACCCTATCACTCCTCCAGCAGATGTAGAAGCGAATTTATGCTGACTGCTCATGTCATGTATTCAAGTATGAGCATCTACGTAACGTATGCATCTACGTTATTTGCCACAGACATTCTGTGGAGTAATGATTCAACAACTTTTTTTAAAATACATATTTATAAACACATATATAATTAATGCAGTGCAGACATGACATGTCAAGTGAGCTCTCTGTAGATTTTACAGCAGGGTAAATCCAGTCAACAGAATGAGAACAGGAAAAGTCTGTCTGTGGCAAAAAAGAACAATAAAATCTGAGAGAATCGGATCCTAGCCATGTCAATAAAACTTGAGTACAATCAAGTATGAGAGGCACTGAACAAGAAATTAAAAAAAGAAAAGATACTCACAGTAAATAGCCAGCCTTTTCTCTATTTTAGCCCATTATTACATTAACCTTTAATCCCAAGTAAATAGCCAGCCTTTTCTCTATTCTAGCCCATTATTACATTAACGTTTAATCCCAAGATGTTCTAATGAGACAACTATATGTGACAGAAGAGATTCAGAAATATGTACTATTTGTGGAGAGTGAGAGATATTCTCCATTCTCCCCGTTTTGGCTCTATTCAGGCTATACTGATTTGATGACAAATATTACAAGTTTTTATTTTCTCAATGCAATAAATGCACAGTACAGAAAGAGTTAATGAAAAAGCAGAACAGCTGACATGAAGAGTTAAAGCTTTGCACAAAAAAATACTAAAATGCTATTTCTTTTGCAAGTTCCAAGACAGAAAACAGATAGTAATGCCAAATAAGAAACATGTAAATAGTCAAAATACAGTTATCAATGACACACATTATTTGTTATTTCATTAAGTAATATTTTTGTTTATGTTTTAACCTTATGTATGTGGAAATTATCTCCCCTTCTCCAAGCTGAAATGTGATGCCTTTATCTGGTTGGTGGAAAACACTGTGTCCATAGGAGGCAACGAAATCAGGCCGCAAATCATTGTTTTGAATGAAGTTCTGCAGGCATTGGCCTATTAAATGACTGTAGTCAGACTGTAGCTTGATCAAATCCTATAAGAATTTATGTACAAACTGTAGAGAAATTATCCACACAGAAAGAAATCATGCCACTAAATAAAGTGAATGTAAAGTGAAGGACCTTTCCCCCATGACCTCTGATGTATTGGGTACCAACTATACCATAAGGAATGAAAAATGGACTTCTACCTCTATCTAATCATATCACCAGTATGCAATGACTACCGATTGTGATTTAAGAATCAACATCACAACATACCGGGCATACCCTTAGATGCTTCGTCTACTGCAGCAAATGTCTTGAGGTGTAGATAGTAACTGTAGCATAGTGATTATATTCGTCATTCTCTTTCTCTCATATGTTCCTTCTTGCCGGATCCACCCCTAATTTCAAATTCACACATTCCTACACACATTATTTCATCTAACCTCCTGTCTTTTATCAGCAATAGTTTATAAATGGTCTTTAGAATGTCTTCTTTGTCCAGTATGAGTGCTTTAGTAGGTATAATTTTTATAGCTAGAAAAATCAAGACTTCTTTTTCTTCCTCTTCCTTTTCATCTTCTTCTTCCGCTTTCTCTTCTTTTTCTTCTTCTTCCTTCTCTTTTTCTTCTTCTTTCGCTTCCTCTTCTTGTTTTTTTTGTAAAAAAATTTTTATAACATAATGAATATACAAAAAAAAAAGTAAACAGTTGAGAGGAATTAGTTTACTGTACCAAATTGTATCCTATTAACTCAATCTCTTCAGAACTGCTAGCCACCTGCCAAGAGCACAAACGCCATGGCTCCGGTGACAATCCCCAGGAATTTCCATAAAAATTACACCATCAACGTGTTACGTATTATCCATATTGACATCCTAGAACATCAGACTGACCCACTTGTGCTCCGTCCTCCAATACAGCAGCCATCTCAGTGTCTACATACTCAAAACACCCAGCAGGAGTTGAATGGCAGATCTTTTTTCTTTACCCCACAAGCAGTTTCTACATGATTGCCCTCGTTTAATACCCATTTCCAACAGGTGGTTCATTATCTCTGATTCCTTTCTTTCAAAGTCTCTAGAAAGCAGTGTATTCAGTGAGTCCACCCTGGCCATACTTCTTCCTCCACCAACCACAGGAGACATGGCCAATCTGCCAGCTCTTTCCTTCCCTCTTACCCGGGCATATCCCTGTGTGTACAGCCAAGATAGTTTCTTGACGCGGGACTGAATGATGCAGTCCATGAAATCAACTCTTGACCTATAGAGCGCGAAGCAAATAGTCTCATCACTATGCCAGGGAGACAACAACAGCATAAATACTCACAAATCCTGACAGGCTGGTCGCAGCTTCTAGCATTTCCTTCATCATCTTACTATAGGGCACAGTCACAGCATGCTCTATTCGATAACCCCAGACGTCAGTCTCAGAATCTCCGGTGAATTCCGCAAAGCAGAGATCAAGGCCATCCAAGGAGGCTCCCGACATAATCCCAATGCCATAATATGACGACATTGATGTTTTGTGTGTTTTATAAATCAAGTCTCTTTTTCTTTAAAATTTATTTTCGTCTGCCTGCCGCACTACTTTACACAAACTGTTAAATACACCAAGAAAGAAACTGATAACACATAATCATAAGATTAGAAAAAAATTAAACATCATTACTTCTTCTTTCTCTGCTCCACCCTTAAAATGATGGGTATCAGGTTTTGTTGTGGCTTACAGTCAGGCTATGATATCTTTGCATTTTGGCCCAACACATCCAATTTCAGCAAAGCTGCAACTAGTCACCTTTTGCTACTTGCTTTTAAAGGAGAAGTGGGTCTATTGCCTATTAGTTAGTTAACTCCTTAAATAGTTAAATCCTTAACTCGATGTTCTAGAACAGCAACCTCCATATGTTTTTTGTTGTTTGTAACTTCACCAGGCAATTTCACGTTCAATAAATTGTCATTTCTGCCTCAACGGTCAGCCCCCAATACCACTATCGAAAACAACGCGAGAGGTCTGCAGCCAAATCACTCATCTAAAACTATAGTGAAATTCTGGCTCTCCTCCAAACTTCTACCCGGCATTATGGCGGCCAAGCAAATAGCCTAACAGGACAAGGCCTGAGTCATGTGTAAAATGGGGACTTTCTGCCAAGGAACAAATCGTGGCAAAACTATGATCGGCTCCGAATAACGAAACAAATGCTCTAACAGGGTCAGCGATATGTTAATTGCGGACCTGTTTCTGTGACTTTGCCGCACAGCCGACAGTATCCCGCTCTTAGCGGCGCATATGGGGGGCTAAACTAGATGGCTGGGACTCACGAGCAGCAGCTACTGCAACTCCAGCAACTTCCTCTAATTCATTTGCTCGTGAGTCCCAGGCAATTAGTTTAGATACTGTCTGCGGTGAGTTTAACCTCGTTTTGCGCATGCCGAAAAGTGTGAGGACAACAACGACTCTAAACTGCGTCGGAGCGCATGGTCTCCCCGCCATGTGGCTAATAATAGTATTATCGTCTGTAATGTTGTGGGTCTCGAAATTGTCAATGGTCGCTAGTATCGTCGTCTGCAGAAACGCGTGAAATTGTAAACCGTAGCTATTATCGTCTGCAGTGTTGCGTCTCTTAAAATTGTCAAGTAATCCTAGTTTTGCCGCGATTTGTTTCTCGGCAGGGAGTCCGACAAGTCCGCATTTTTCATAGGACTGAGGCCCTGTCAGTATGTGTGTTTGGCCGCCATAATGCCGGGGTAGAAGTTCGGAGGAGAGCCGAAATTCTGTTGTCTTTCTTTACTTAATGCCATATGCGTCGCAAGCACGGCTAGTGTTACTGTTAGGCTTCCGGGATAGTGCGCGCTCGCAAGCTAGCTGCATACTGCATGGTGATATTGTGGAGTTTCAGCAAGTTATTAACTCAATTTATTAGAATTACCGATACTTCTTGGCGTTCACGGCCTCTGTTTGTTTCCATTCTCTACCCCCGCACGGCGCACGCCTTACCTTAATTACTTAATTCACAATACTGCTATTTTGTAAATGCAATCTAATATTACAAGGTAATTCTCAAGAAACACAAGATAAACCGATTACTTCAGAACATTTCACAGGCGCCTCAAAATCAGAACAAGAAGACGCGATCTGTTGTGAGTTGAGAAGACTTGTTGTGGCTAGCTAGTCATTGTTTACGTGTGGAGTTTTGATGCGGAGTTTACAGCAGACGTCGCAAGGCCGTGACATTGAGGCTGTTGGTCTGTACAGGGAAAGTATCAGCCGGTCCTTGGCCAAGATTGCTGCAGGTCAAGGAGTTTTGACCGAATGGTTAGAATTCTGGTAAAGTAAATAAAATAAACCACCTTTTTAACGACAAGAGGCGCATCGAGTATATAATTGTGGGCGGATATTGTTAAAGATCAATCGAACTTCGACGTGCTTTCTTCTTCTTCTTCTTCTTCTTTTTCTTCTTCTCCTCCTCCTCCTCCTCCTCCACTTACCTCATTTGAAGTGTGTGTGTGTGGGGGGGGGGGGGGGTTTAAGAATATAAAACTTGCCCATGTGCCTTTTTAAATACATTGTGCTAGTTTATCTTCATTTCCCCTAGACTGCTCTTGATGCCGTTATTCCAGATGTTATGTTATCACAGTCGACTTCTTTGCACATTGGGCATCCTCATGTGTGCTCTGTCCTGTGATGCAGCAGCCACTCCAAGGTACCTCAGCTGATTGTTTCCACGAGGAGTTGATTAGAGTATCTCCGTCATTCCACATGTGCGTAGTCTTCCTCTTGATCTGTGTTCATTATATTCCTTCAACGCGACCGTCTGTCGCGGCTGGTGTTGTAATTAAAACTAACTCACGCTGGCCGCCTTTGCTACATAGAAAATGGCCTCGGAGCCATTTAAAACTGATCCAATCCTAGGTTAGATGATGGATTTTTAGTTACCTTTACGACGTGTGTATAATCAATCACACATGCACACACACACACATACACATATTCATCATCATCATCATCAATCCTCTTTATGCCTTCGTGGCACATGAGGCTTCAGAGAGGACCTTTCATGCCTTCCTGTCCTGTGCAATCTTCAGTGCGGGTTTCCATGTTAGAGATGCCGCACTCAGGTCACTTTCCATCGTTCGTCTCCATGTTGTTTTTCGGTGCCCTTTTTGTTTTCTGTGGTGTCCAAGTGAGAGCTGTTTTGCAGGTGTATCAAGATTCATTCTCATAACGTGACCAAGCCATTTCCATCTTCTCTTGGTTATCATACTGTCTAGAGTTTCTTTGTTTGTGACTTGAAGTAGTTTAGTGTTTGAGATGGTATCTGGCCAGAACATTTTGATAATTCTACGTAGACATGTGTGGTGGAAGGTGAATAGCTTGTGGGCGTCCTTTATGTTCATTCTCCAGCATTCTGTCCCATAAAGTAGAACTGGCAAAATGATGCTCTTGTAGAGTCTGAGTTTCGTTCCTCTGCAGTAACTGTTGGATTTCCAGATTTGCTTATCCTTCCAAAAGTGGCTCTAGCTTTGTCCCAACGTGACTGTATGTCTTCCTCTGTCCCTCCTAATAGGGACACCACACTGCCTAGATATGTAAACTGTTCTACATTTTCAAGTGTTTGGTTATTAATGGTCACTGGTTGTTGGTTTGGACTGTTTGTCATGATCTTAGTTTTCCTTGTGTTAATTCTCAGTCCCACCGTTTCTGCTGTACTGTTGTGTTATTTTTCTCTTGTATATGTTAATTTTTATGTGATGGAAGTGCTGTATCATCTGCAAAATCAAGGTCATCGAACACACACATATTACTAGGACTAAAATCCATAAACAGAAGTGGTAAAGAATGCTCATGACATCTTTAAAGAAGTTACCTCTAAAGATAAAATCGAGGAGAATAATCAATAATTGCACATGGCTAGAGAACACAACACACACACACACACATCGTGATTGTAACTGATTCAGAAAGCATGCTGAGGAAGATCAGAACAAGTATGCTTCGCGCAGAGTGGCATGCTTCGCTGCGGTGGACATGGGTAATGAGTATTGTCTGGACTTTTTCATCGGGGTACGCCGGTGTGTTGGGAAATGAACAAACGGACAGACTGACTGGCTCTGCACAGCTTGGTGGAATATTGATACATGTTAAGGCAGACGTGGTTAGTGCCTTGTGGGAGAGCGTGTGCAGTTCGGGGGAGCAGACGGATCACCACAGTCTGGTGAGATTGATGCAGCGGGAAGTGACGAGAGGTTCTGGCAGATGCTCGAGGCTCAGTGAAAACGCAAGACGGGCGTTTAATCAGAATGCTACTGGCACTATTAGTATCGGAACTCTTCGCTGGCTGCTGAAGATGGGGACGGATTGCTTATGGGAATGCCCCGAGTGCTGTGATGTCGGTTCTTGAAAAAAATAAAATCAATCAAATGAATGCACAATGGGGAAACAATATGTCCAACTTGTTAATGATACAATGTTATTAAGATTGTCTAATTGTACATAGTATAATTTCTATAACAATCACAACCCAAATTAAAAGCAAAATATGAAACAGTACAAATAACATCAGTACAAATAACACTTTGGTCACAAAAATAATTACATGATATAACAATTTAAAATACAAAATATATACTCTGAGAACTCAATACAAACAAAGTTCTTTAGCCATGCAATGAGCAAAGGAGTACTGGAAAATATCGTAACGACTGGAAAGATCACTGGTAGAAGAGGAAGAGGCAGACAGAGAGAAATGATGGTGGATGGCTAAAGACAGTGTCATGGAGGATATCATCAGTAGAATTGACCCAGGACACCAAAGACTGAGAATTGTGGCGACGCATGAACACCAACGCCAGCTAGCAAGGCACTTAATGATGATGATGAGAACTCACTAAACACTATATATCCCATTTATAACCCTGCGGGTTAAACATTATATTTTTTGAAAAATTACTTTATATATATATATATATATATTTCTGAGGCCTGAAGCTGGCTTTTGTGAGCTGTTGTCATTGCCCATGACTCACACCCATAGGTCAGGACTGGTATAAAGGTAGAGCGGTAAACAGCCATTTTCGTCCTCTTGCCGATTTCTCTTTTGCTAAGAAGAGGCCTGGAAGAGTCTCAAAGAAGCTGATTTTCATGTAGCCAGCTCAGTCCTAATGCCTCCATATGTATATATATATATATATATATATATATATATATATATATATATATATATATATATATATATATATATAGCAATAATTAATAACGATTTAAGTCTCATGCTATTGTTTTTCTACACACTAGTTTAACATGTATAGGAGGGCAATTGTTGTATTCAACAGGTTTGTTCAACTGGGAACATAAAACATGGCGAGGAAATGGGCACAAGTGCCCGCAGAGTGGTGTTCGCCCTTTTGTCCTTTTCCGTCTGCATTTAACCGGTTAGAGAATGCAGAAATCATATCCCGTTGGTGGTTGCAGCAGACGTTCAAGCCTTAATTCTGGAAAATTCTGCTGACGAAGGTGCA